GGGGGGGGGGGGGTGGACAGCAGGCCTGGAATGGCTTCTTAGGTGGTGGGAAGGAGTGGTGCAACTCTGGTGACCTTGGGTCAGATGCACCGTAGACTTCTGGAAGGTCCTGAACAGCAGAGTTACTAATGGCCTTATCGAGTCACCTTCTCCTGACTCACTCAGTAGTCCTGGATGATGTCCTTGTTGTACTTGAATTCAGATTTTGACAGGTGATAAAAGCATATTTTGAGATTGCTGCTTCATAGGGTCTAAATTCATACCTATTGACTGATTTTATTTTTGCCTTTGCTGAGACGCTCCCTCGTGTGTTTGCTGTTACTTTTAATGGATTGCTTCCCGGTGCATTGTGAGGCCCAGGCACTTGCCCTGCAGTCTAGCAAACTGCAGCTTGACCTGAGTGGAGCTGGAGCAGCACAAGGAACACTTAAACCAAGCATTTGGCAACATGACTTACTTTTTTTCCCTAGAAGATAGTGTAGATAGCAACTGTAAATGTTCTTATTTGCGTCTTCGTGGAGCTTAACTTTCTTCAGGGTGCTCAAGGTTTTTCTCTTCCATTCTCTTAATTTTTTAACATCTTAAATGCCCTGCAATCACAATGTTTGACCCTGTACTTCTGAAGGCTAAATGAAAAACGGTTGATGAGGAAGATTTGTTTGTCAATTGTAATTATACTTGATAAACAGAAAAGTCTTAGTTTTTCCAGTGTGTTGGGGTCCTGCCAGTAAGCCCGTGTTCTCCCAGACTCTGCAGTGGGTCTCATGGGATATCTCCTACTGGTTCTTTCTCTTCCTTCTTTTCCTCAGAGGACCACGTTTTCTGTTTTGTGCAGGAAGTTCCCACTGGTCTTGAGTTCCCCAGCTACGGTTGGAAAGACATCAGAGTGTCCAAGGCGGAGTCTGGGCCTGCCATCTCAGCAGGCCAGACAGGCAGCAGATGGTTGTTGCTTGTTTTGTTTTGTATTTACTGTTCCCTTGTGTAGAGTTTGGGGGACCACAACCAAGAGGCTGTTCATAGGGTGAGAGTAAGTTTACTTCTGACAATGATGGGGCTCGGGGTTATTGGGTGTTTTGTGATTTGAAACCAGCTGTTTGTTAACCACTAACTCTTACCTTATTCTTTTCTTGCAGATGAGCTCACAGTGCCTGCACTTTACCCCAGTAGCCCTGAAGTGTGGGCCCCGTACCCTCTGTACCCAGCGGAGTTAGCGCCTGCTCTACCTCCTCCTGCTTTCACCTATCCCGCTTCACTGCATGCCCAGGTAATTTATACCCATCGGCCACGACTTCACTCACTCCACCACCAGTCCTTTCAAACCTGGTTCCCCAGAGCACACCATACAACTAACACCTACCCAGCTAACAGATCCACTTTCAAGAGATTAATGATCCCCTCTAAATCAAGCTGACACTCCTCCAGGACTTACGAGGACCGTCTGACAGCAATGATATCACCCACTGCCTGATGTTTGCCCCAATTGACACCTCTCTCTTCCCTAATGATTTCACCCTCATATCACACATGAAAGACTGGGGCAAGGTTACCTCCCTGGCTCCCAGCTAGCTAGAGGACATCGCCAGAGTGTAGGTGTGTGTGCCTTGTCGTGTGGATGGTCTGCAGAGGGAGGCATACACTTGTAGCAGGAGTTCTGTGCGTCTGCATGTGTTGCTGTGTATTGAGAGATTTTTGCTTTTGTGTTGTATGAAAATCTAGCAATCAAAGGGGAAGCTTCCAAGAGGAAGACTTTACGCTTTCTTACATATGGTACAGAAAAGATTAAGGGTTCCTTTTTTCGCATTTTTAGGAAGCCTTATAGAAAAGGAGATGCAATATAGTGTCTAGAATGTAATTAAAGTTCAAGTTAGAGATCTCTGTTCTGACCAGCTTGCTTTTAAGAATTGCCTAAGTTTTATAAACAAACTCCCTTGATTCTCCACAAAGATTACTGTCTACATACTAACACTTTTCTTCCCCTTGGAGAAAATGTTTCTTTTAGCTTTGCTTTTAGTGCAAGTAGTGGTAATCAATAGCAAGAGTCACCTTTGGAAATAGCCACTCATTCTTTGGCCCACAGAGAGTGATGATCAGTAGTAAACAGACAGGACGTAGTATTTCATTTGTCTTACTGCATGTGTAACTCAGCCTGGTTTTTTAAAAATTGTCAGGCTGGAAAGGTGGGATTTTTGTTTGTTTTGTTTAGTGTTTATTTACATGGTTGGATGAATAAACAGTTTGCAGAAAACTCTTCTTTCTGACTTAAAACTCTTTTATGTTCTACAGAACTCACTATTTTAAGATACCTACAAGCAGCCCCCAGTGAGGGTTCTTGAAAGCCATAGGGTGAGGAGTGTTGTTGGCTGGATATTTTTTTTTTCAGCTGAGTTTTCAATGCTCTGTGTGTATATTGACGACCTTCCTGGGGCTGCTCTCCCAATTGATCCAGACACCATACGGGCAACTACAAAGAGAAGCCCTTGGTGCCTGGGCCCCATAGCGATTACCGTCCGTGCTGGAAGGAGGAGGTAGGAAGCAGTACAAGGAGAAGAGAAAAACGTGCATGGTGGTAGTGAGTGCACTTGGCACCGAAAATAAAGCAGCAGGATTAACTGTGCCTGTTGCTTTCCCTCCCCCTGTTGCCTTTTCTACTTTTTGTCCATGTTGGTGCTTGGTAACCCTTACAACTGGTAGGTAGCAGGGGAGTGAGAGGGTATAAAACGTAAACTTGGGGGTGTCTTTTGCTGAGTCATCAGTATGTCTGTAGTGTGCTGCAGATAACTTTGTGGATGACATGGAGCTACTAAAAGAGCCCCTTTTGTTTGTCCTCCCACCCCCACCCCATCTGTAGATGATATGTCTTCTCTCCTCTCCTCTTTCTAGAATGCCAAGATTCAGATCAATTGGCAATTAAGACAAATATTAATAAGTGCCATGAAACAGTGCAAGTTTGCATAGTCTTCCCAACATCCATGGGTTTGGTTAATCAGCAACAAAGCCTTTCACCATTACCCTGGATAGTCAAGAGTTGATAATGGCCACCAAGGACTGGAAATGGTGGCTGTTGGCCATAACATCTGTCCTTGCTCCATTCATGTAAGGATGAAATCAGAAATGATTCTGGGGATATGGTGGGAGAAGGACCCAAAGAGTTTTAAGAGATTAGAAAGCCTGTGCCATTACAAGGAAGGATGGAGAGAGACAGTGCCAATATTAGGTGGACTCAGCCGTTTGACTTAATGGGATGCAGTGCCCATGTTGGCACCCGCCCCCATGAGTGTTTCCTTGATCTTGACACTTTCTCAGCCTAGAATCAACTTGGCTTTGCCACATCCATCTTAGATTTGGTGAGATACATGTGTTCAACCCTGCTTCTTGTTTTTCTTGCTTGGAGTCATTCCCAATGTAGTCTTGGACTCTATATCCTAAAGATTTCATGGAAAAGTAATGGTTATGTAAAGTTATTTTTCTAGTATAAGAATCATAGAATGAATTGGTAGAGGCTTTACAAATCAGCTGGTCTGACCCATTTTACAGATGAGGAAACAGACCTGAGAAGATGGAGAAAGTTACCCAAAGTCGGAAGTGGCTGTACCATGCTAGACCCAGTTCACCTGACTCCCAAGCCTTGCTCTTTCTACTCTGAGGTGTTTGCTCACCAAAGACTTATTCCTCAGTGGAACTTTGTCACTCCGTCAACTCCTTGGATCTTTCTTCTCTAAGTAGATGGGAAGCCTGTAAGAAGATACTTGGAGGCAAAGACAAGGGAATCAGCACATAACCTTCACCCAAAGGGTCTAAGAGAATCTTTATTAACTGACGGTAGGACAGAGAAGGGAAAGCCCAAGTGGAGCATCTCCCCTTAGTGGATAATTCAGTTTTTGTTCTGGAAATCTTATAATGTCTTTGGAGAGGCTTTTAAGTAATTTTGCTTTTCTTAGCAATGTTGTGCTCTGTTTTGAGACATGGATTTTTTTTTTCTTCTAGTGTTTCTCTCCTGAGGCAAAGCCCAACACACCTGTCTTTTGTCCACTTCTCCAGCAAATTAGATTTGTCTCTGGGAATGTGTTTGTAACATATCAACCTACTGCAGACCAGCAGAGGGAGCTCCCATGTTGAATTTGTTAGCTATTTTTTCCCCCTTTGCAAAAACTTTCTTGGTGCATTTGAGAGATTTCAATAAAAATTTTAATCAGAGCAAAAATGACCTCGAGTAGACTACGGCGTTTTGTTTTCACGGTGTTACAATTTCGGAGCTAAGGTGTTAATCTCTGACTGAGATTTCAGGGGAACTGGGCCCATAGCACTAAATATATTTTGCATAGGAAAAGGACTCAGAAGCATCCTGGGGTGACAAGGCACCAGAGCCGAGGCCTCCTTGCTGCTGCTTGTGTCTTCTTGGGCTCCTGAATCACCAAGAGCTGCGTATTGGAAGATTCTCACTTCAGCCTCCATGGGTCATCTATCAGATCTCTCTTCAGCAGAGATGGTGTGTCTAGCTAGTGGAAGCCTGTCTGAAACAAATGGATGTGTTTTCCTGTCTGCCCGCTGTGTTCCAGAGAGGAAGGAGGACCCAAGAGACAGAAATTGCCACTGAAAAGGAATTGAGTCACATTTCTAATTCTGCCCCAGCTTTAGTTGTTATCTGGTGCCCCCTCAGATTTCCCAGCTCTAAATTGAAGATGCTTATTTGCCTTAAATCCCATTTTTTAGAAATTATTGGATAAGGTAGTAGGACTGTGAGCCTCAGTAGTGCTTTGTTTTTAGAGATGAAGGAGCAATTCTGCAGCAGACATCTGATTTCTAAGAAGATCATTAACATTTTTAGAATTCATCATTCAGTTTACTTTCAAGGTCATTGGTATTTACAATTTTTATTATGTAAGTCACTGGTTAGGAGAGGAAGGTTTCGTCTATTGCTTTCAGGAAGGTTATACTCTGGAGAGAAGCTACAGCTGCTCCTGTCACCTCACATTCACACATCTCTGCTTTTGAAGTCTGGGTTTGTATTTGCTTTTAGTCTTCCTGCTGAGGGGGCAGAGAGAAAGCATGCTGTCCTTGCCACGTTCTAGAAATACAACCCCATGTACCCTCTACTAGAGTCAGTTACATTGTTGGGCCAGAAACTTTTGCAGGTAAGTAGGACTGAGAGAGAACGTTCTGGTAACCTGTTTTTTCTTCAGAGGCCTCAGTTGCCCCGTCAGCAGCTCTTTCAGAATTCTTACAGGGCTGCTGTACAAGTTACGACTGGAATGTATTACCTGTACATTAAAAAGGCCCTTGGGAGGTCCCTTGTGACACACTGGAAAAATTATAAATGTTAAACCCAAAATAAATACAAAAATGGACCATGGGAAAAGAGACATAGGCAAAGAGGGAGGGGAGATTACAAAGGGACAGATGGACCTAGCAATGGTGTGTGGGATGCCTAAACCGCAGGGCTGTCACCACCACCACCACATCTAAGCATTTACTCAGCAGGGTGCAACTTCACCTTAAAACATACTTAAAAAAAAAACCACTTCACAAAGCACCTTTGCTGTCGCTGACTATGCCTTATAGAGAATACTGAGATAAAAAAGACACAAAGGACTTCTGATTTGTCACAGGGTGTGTTTTAAGTGCATAGAGCATGAGAGGGAGGGGGTGTCTTGGGTAGTGCTGAGCCCACATGGACTCAGGTGAGCACATGGCCCCTTGGAAGCCTCCCAGCAGCATGGCAGTCATGCGTCCTACCCAGCTGCGTGGTGGGACTCGCACGGCGTGGACATTCAGAAGGCAGTAGCCAGTGCTGTAATGGTGGTTGGTCCTGTAGGGGGACCTGTGAACAAAACCATCTCTGGGACCCATGGAGGTGGCTTCAATACCTCACTCCGCTGGCCTGCCTCCCCACAATAAGGGGGGAGTCAAGAGATTCTGGGCATTTGCTTCTGTGAATCCCAGATCACATCAGCTCTTACCCCCGACTGACTTTTCCTAGAGGCCTGGGTTTCCCAAAAGTGTTTTCTTCCTCCAGAGCTGGTGCTTATCACTGTCTGAAAAACCCACAGCTTTGAAGGACTGCACAGGTTGCCGTTGGGGCTGTTCCAGCCCAGCGCTTTAAATTGTTTTCAGACTTAAACTATTAATCCTCTGACATTTGCCTTTCCTTCTACCCCTGCAGCTCTGTGAAGTCATACTGTGAGGAGAAACCACCCCTGAGTGTTCTGGCTCCCAGAAGGGCCTGCCTTGCCTGGCTCCTTATTTTGTTAGGCATTTGAGGAGCACCTCGCCTAGCTCTCGAGGAGACTGGGGCGGGCAGGCCAGACACTGTGCTCACAGCACCAGCCGCTTATGAGCATGCGCAGTGCCTCTCCCAATTATTAGCAGCACAGGCCTCTCCTGTGGGCTATCTCTGTGCCTAACCGTGAGCCAGAGCCTGTGCTGTGGCCTTCCCGTCAAGGGATCTCTGAGATGCTGCTTTCCCTCCTAAGACTGGAAGTAACGTAGGGTCGAAAGCACAGGCTCTCGAGCTGCCTCATGAGACATGGGCTCTGCCATTCATGAGCTATGCCACCTTCACTGAGCTAGTTCCTTAACCTCTGGCTTCAGGAAAATGGAGCTAATCATCCCTCATGTAAAACACATAAAAGACTGCCTGGCACATCATAAGGGCTTAGTAAATGTTTGGTTTTTTAAAAAAAATAAGGTAACCCTCCCTGGGGCTTTTTAAGAAGCAGTTGGATTTTCATTAAGGAGAAGGAATTGTAAGACTAAGCTCAGCCTAACTACAGGGCCATGATAGTTAAAACACTTAAAACATCCAGCACATTTTGATGACACTTATGGGGCTGCAGCCAAATGGAAGGCTAGAGGCTGGAAAGAATGAATAAGAAAGATGAGGCATCAGGTGACAGAATGCCACCAGCATCAACGAGTGACAGCATCTGCTCTACATCCAGCAATGTGGTTTCTGCAGTTTGTGCCAGCACTGGGAGAATCTGTCCCCCAGAGGAAGTCTCCCCCACAGCCAGGCCAGGACACGCCTGCCAGAAGAAAACCTTTCTGACAGGAAATACATCAAGAGGGGGAAACAGCTGAAATCCCAGAGAGACGAAATGGTCCTTGTGTGTTGCTTTCCACAAACCCGCTGTCCCTGAACCTTCCAGCTGCTGCCTTATCTTGCTTCCCTATCAGAGAAACTGGAGAAGAGGAAGACCCGCAGGTCACCCAGCCCATTCCTCTCTGCGCTTTCTGGCACTTTCTTCCCACAGTCCTTCCACTAGGATTTGGCCCAGCCACGTTTCCAGGCATTGGAGTTACATCTTGGTGCCTTGGGAGAGTCCCCTCTTCTTGGTGACCTTCTGTATCCGTTCCCCTGCTCTGCTGTTTGGTGTTTATAGAACTAAGGAGCCCCTTCCCTTAGGAAGGCAGTGAGAGACATAAGCATTTGCCCCGTACTCACTGGCCTCTTCAGAAGCAGTCCAAAGTCAGTTATCCAGAACTATTAGGGATAGTTGTTCCTATGGCCTGAGCTGCTCTGGTACTGAGGCCCGAACCCCCATACTGAACAGTTTTAGGCAGCAGATGCTGTTCAGAGACCAGAGTCCTTCCCCTCAGGTGTGGCTGTGCGTCCCTGGCCAGGTTTGCTGATCCCAAGGAGACTTCATGGCCAGGATTGGGAGAAATGCTCAAAGTGGGCCTCCTGACAGCAGCACAACACCCTCACTTGCTGCGCTGCATTTTCCAAGGTTTCTTAAGCGTGTTCTGTTTTGCCCATTGTGGAAGGCCAAATTCCCTATATCCTATGCATGTTTCCCCAACTTCCTTAGCAGTCAGACCCCAGCCCTGAGTCTCAGTGAGTCTCACCTGTAAGGGCTGCTTGTGAGCTCGCCTCTTCCTTTGGGCTATTAACATGTGGTCCAACTGTCACCATAGGGTGGTGCAGAGTTCCCGGCCGGCACCTATTCGAGACTCTTTTAAAATCAAGCAAACAGGATTTTAGTGACAGTATCCACCCATTCTGCTAAATTAGAGATTTTAGGCAACTTCATTTTATCTTCACTGAGCCTGTTTCCTAATCTGTAAATGGGAAGAATGAACACTTATTTCGTGGGGCTATTTTGAGAGAAAGAGTAGCTTGGCCTAGAGTTGTAGTTATTACTAAAGTATCTGTTCTACCACCTTCCCTTTGTCAGAACTTGATCTGGCATGGCCCAGAGGCTCCTGAGCCTTCCCTATAAGCTTCAGAAGCACTTAGGACACAGAAACTCCAGTCTAGGACCATGGCATGTAGTTATTACTAAAGTATCTGTTCTACCACCTTCCCTTTGTCAGAACTTGATCTGGCATGGCCCAGAGGCTCCTCAGCCTTCCCTATAAGCTTCAGAAGCACTTAGGACACAGAAACTCCAGTCTAGGACCATGGCAGGAGGAACCTATGGGCCCAAGCCTTTTTCTTTGGTAAAGAAGAAAAGCAGCTGGAGCCAGAGCAAGAACTGGTCTGTGGCTTATGGTGTGTACAGAGATGAGGCTCTGTGGTTGGATCAGCAGGTTATCCACCCAGGATTTTTCGCCGCCTTCCATAGGCATAGGCACCCAGACACCATCCAAAGGTATGTGAATTCTAACCACTTTGGAACAAAACCAAGACTGCAGAGAAACTTTGAGATTATGAAGTGTAGTCTTCATAAAAGGAGAAAGTGAACTTTTCCTTGAAGGAAACCAATTGTGACAGGGGGAAAAAGGGAAATCAACTCCAAATGGAATCATGTTTTATTCAGGATTTGTGCTGCCAGTGGGGAAGGCCAGACCCGGTGACAGGATGGGAAAGTGGGACACCCCAACTTCAAGCCTCATGTGTGCTGCCACGAAGCTCTGCTCGCTTCACTTAGCTCAGCTCCTGGGGACCTTTAATGGCCCTTGATAGCAAACATAGTTAAAAATTAACAGACTGACAAAATTAAATATGGATGACAAGCAACCACTGTGGACTTAATCTGACACAGGGTGTTACACGCTTGGGTGCCCTCGACTCAAGTGGCGTCTTGAGTGAACTCCTGATGTCTGAGCACATTTCACATGCCTGTTTGGAATTAGAGCCTGGCTTGTGCTTAGGACAGACAGGAAAAGAGTCTAAAAGCCCAGGAGAGAGAATTTTCACTGAAGCCTTTTCTTTTATTAATTAAATCCACCTTTGATTGGTCTTACAAGGAGGTGTTCCTCTTGCATTCTAGACCTTGTCCCTGCCCAGGCCCAGACCTCAGCGATGCCCTGCCATCCTGGGTGGGGTAGAACATGGCCTTCTCCAGCCAAGACTCTCTTGCTCACCTTTCAGCTGTTGGGGTGGCTAAGACGGCAGGCTTAACCTTTGGGCCAGCTCACATAAATCTTGACACTTTGCCTAATACTAGCAATTTGTCTAATTGCCCTCAGCAAGGAGAATTAGATGCCAGACAAGTAGTAAAGAATGCTGACTGCATTTCGAGCTCTGTGTGTCAGCTAAGAGTATGGGGCTGCCAGTTGGTAGAGGAGGAGAGGAAGGGGCAGTGAGCTTTCCTTTACAAGTGATCCTCAGTGGGCCTCATTTCATGCAGCAGAGAAATTCCTCAAAAACATTCTTCCAGTTTTGGTGAGTGCTTTATTACAAATGGAGAGGGTTGCTGTTTAAAAGAACCCGGTAATTAGTGCCATAAAGAGGACACTCATGTGTTGCAAATCATCACTCCAGTCTTTTTGGTGAGTTTGGAGTTTCTTAAATCAGAGCATGCTTCTGGTCTGGCAGCCTCTCCTCAGCCTGGCAGCCTTTGACCGAGCTTGCTGTGTGGGACCTACCATGCTTTATTCAGTGATGCTACCCAAGAGGGGATTCTTAGGTTGGGCCGAGTAATTAAATCAGTGTGAGTGAATTGACCCAGCAGTTGGGTCAATAAAGTCTCCACAGGGGTATTCAGGACTCCATTTGGGGGATAGTGGTAGAAACCTACTTAAGAATATCCATGCATTAAAAATGGGTTAGTCCATTAGTTTGAGGTAACATTCCTGTTGTTCACATAAAATATGTGTTCAAGTTACTGTTTTTAGATATTTTGCTTAAAGAGGGATGGCTTAGTTCTGAATATAGTGCTGGGGAAATCTGCATTCAGGTACAGTGCCTGCATCAGGAGAGGTAAGAGGAGATTTTAGCTGCTCTGTATAGATTAGCCATCCAGGGCAGCAGCTGGTTTGGTGGTCTCCAGCTCTAATTGGTTTTATTAAGAGCTGGAAACTTGGATGCCATATTGGCACACCTCAGCCTCTTACATCCACCAAATGTTACCACTGGAAGCGGTCTTCCAGACCAGCGTTACTCAACACCACAGATATTAGTAGCTGTTACATAGTAAAAAGATTCTGTGGTCAGATAAACTTGAGATAACCAGGGCTAGATCAAGTCAAACAGGTTTCTTTATTTTGGAACTTCTCAGAGCCTTTAATATGCTGATGTATATCAAGAATCTGCTGAACTGTTTCTCTCAAGCTTGTCTGAGTGTAGAGCATCTCCAGAATGGTCTTCCAGTTACACTTCTGGAAACCTGAATCAAGAGCAGTGTCTCTCAAACTTGAATGTGTGCATTATAATCACCTGGAGGTCTTGTTAAAATGCAGGTCACTGGGCCTCCAAGTGATCTGTTACCACTTCTATCAAGTGTTAGGAACTTGAATTTCTAACAAGTTCCCAGGTGATGCTGACAGTCCAGGGACCACAATGAGAACCACTAGTCTAAACTTACCTCTTTATTCCGCAGAGAAGAAAATATTCTAACCAAAGGGTATTTACTGAGAATAGTGGCTAGTAATTGAGCCGGGCACCTGGTAAGCACTTCTCATGACTGTTTCTTTTTTTTTTTGTCCTTTTTTGAGACCGGCCGCACCATGCTCAGCCAGTGAGCGCACCAGTCATCCCTATATAGGATCCGAACCCGCGGCCGGGAGCGCTGCTGCACTCCCAGCGCCGCACTCACCCGAGTGCACCACGGGATCGGCCCCTCATGACTGTTTCTAAATGCAAGTATGATAATTGGATTCAGTCACTAGAAAGGGGATAGTACAATGTGAATAACTTTTTAATCTTTTACCCCGCACTCCTCACAAACCACCGTAGAAGGGCTGCTCCACCCTGGAGACCAGTCAAGGTCTTCCTGTCCTTGCCAACATTATTGGGAACATAAGTTTTGTATGTATTTTAATCCTCTAAGCCTTAGTTTTCTCATCTATAAATGGAAAAGGATAGAAATTATTTTTATGGATACTTCCTACTTTCTCTAGCATTCCATTTTATTTTTGCTCTGAGTTATTTCTTTTTCTGGGCATCTGTTGCTGTCCTGCTCCTGTCTAGTCTGTTATCACACTAAGGTGTTGGGAACTCACAGTGTTACCCTTGCATGCGGTACTGCATTTTTAATGAGCATTCCTGAATAAGTGTGGTGGTAGAATCCCAAAAAGTGTGGCCCCTGGGTGGTGCGTTGTGATAGTGATAACTGTTACCATTATTAAATTCTAGTGGAAGAGATTCCCGAAGTCTTCCATGTTGCTTTCTCAGATGTCATAAACCATGTAAGGTGTTCAGCACAGTGTCTGGCACAGACTAAGTAAGTATCAGGGTCAGTTTTGGTTAAATATATTATGTGAGAAGTTCTTAGGGGCTCTTCAGAAGCCCCTGGAATTTTGCACGTTTGAGTGTGTATGTGTGTGAGCAGCATTTTTCTGCAGAGGGTGAAGAAATGTCAAAGATCATTGCCTTACACGAAAGGCCAGCCTTATTACATGGCTCGAATGAGTAGAGTTTGGGGTGTTTTTTGGGCAGCTGGCCAGTATGGGGATCTGAACCCTTGACTGTGGTGTTACCAACACCATGTTCTAACCAACTGAGCAACTGGCCAGCCCCAATGAGTCAACTTAAACCCCTGCTGAACAGCCGTGGAGAAGTCAAGAGGACAGTGGTTTCCCTAATGTTAATGACACACCTAAAGCAGCCTGTAGGTAATGGGCAGGAGTGACCAGGGCCAAAAGCCACAGCAGAACAAGCAGGCTGAATGGGGTGAAGGCGAACGCTGTCCTTGCAACCCCCTGCACAGCAGTGATTAGCAACTAGGCCAGCTGCCTGAACTCCCGGCTTTGGCCCCCGAGCTCTGCTGCTCTGCTGGGTTGCAGTGCAGGGACACGGACGGGAAGCTCAGACTCGGCCTGAGGGGCACTGCCCTCTGCTGGAAGGTGGGCGCAGCTGGAAGAGGAGGCATCCTTGGGTGTCTGTGGAGCACGGTGAGAAGCGCCCACCCTCGTGGCAAGCGCAGCAGTGTCCGAGTCATGGGGCACTAGAGTGATGAATTTTGGGGTCTGCCTTTACCCCTCCCACCTCACATCCACCATGGGACTCAGCCAGCCTGTTCCACTGCTGGCATCTTCCCACCTCAGCTCAGCTGAGCACAGCTTCTGGACCCCACAGCTGGGAACCAGCCTTCTTGTCACCCAGACCAGGTGATGGGAGCCTGAGGACAGGCTGGAGTGGGCGCGTCCCGCACACTGCAGGCACGTGTGCAGCTGAGAGAATGCAAGGGCTGTGTGTGGTGGAGAGGCCCAGGTGCAAGACAGGAGGCCAGAGGCTGGGGTGGGCGAGGCAGAGGAAGGGCTTCCTTCTCGCGGTCACCTTCACCGAACCCAGAACCATGCCATCACTCTGCAGCTCTCCTGCCCTGGTCAGCCCTCCCTTCTCCGTGAAACACCGTGGCTTGGCCTCGTCGGGGCTCAGCGCCCCAGCCCCACACCCAGGCAGCACCAGCCGCCACCACTGCGCTCACACTGACCCCGGTGCACACAGACCCATCCTCCTCCCACTGTGTGTTTAGGTTCCCAGCCCCCCACCTGCCACGGGGGCTCTGTGGCCCCGTCCCTTCCTTTACCACCTGTCTCAGGAAGGCAGCTCCAACTCTGCTCTCTGCTTAGTGAGCAAGTGGATTCAGATGCACAGAGCCATAAGCCATGGGTAGGTATGAGTTTTTTCTTCGTGTCTCTTTCTGTCTTCTCCCCCTTCTTTTTCCCTCCCCAGTACTCCTCTCTCCCCCTCCCTTCCCACTCCCCCCTCATCCCACATTTTCCTTTCTTGATTTCTTTGTCCTGCATAAATTCCCAAAGTAATGTGTTTTTTAGTCTTCCTGAATTGGCAAAGTTTCCAATCCCTCAACCCCTTAATTGTCCTGAGTGTTGAAAACAACTCTGGCCCTGCTTTAAATGAGCTTTGATCCCTGCTGGTGGCTGCTAAGGAGTACAGCTTTGCCCTCTCGCAATACTGGGGCTTCATTTGAACTGGTCATCTGATTTCTGGTAATATCTGACATGGTCCCCAGAGAAGACACAGATGACCTGAGGGATTATCTGAAATGGATTCCTGGTATAGGCAGAAGCTCAAAATGTGTCCTTAGACCTTTTAAGCCCCTATTATCCCTAAGTGAGGCCAGACACCTCTACCCCAAGTTGGCCTAGCTGGATAGAGTTCCCCAGTGTGGCCCTTGCCCTGCATTGACAGCTGGGGAGGAAATAGCCACTCTGTGAGGAGGCATATGGGACAGAAGGAAACTCCAGGGACTTGTCTGTGTGGACCAGGGCATTGGGTCAGGGGTGCCATGCTGGGTAGACAACCCAGCTTTTAGGATCCAGGGGATCTGGTGGAGCCTTGTCCTGGATTCTGACCCAGGCCCGACCCCACTGAGCTCTGTGACCATGGCCATCAGAGTAGCCAGACCCCAGTTGATTTTCCCACCTGTAAAATAAAAGCTGAAGCGGGAGGTTTTCATCAGCCCCTCCAGAGCCCCTGACTTCTACAGAGTGGCTTCGCCCCCACTGCACCCTGTCTCAGCTGGGACAGCTCCTGCTGCATCTTCCTGCTTTGCAGGACTGAGGGAGGCCCCTCTGCCACTCTGGGGGAGGGTGCCGCCACCCCGGCCCTCCCCTGCCCCTGTGCAGGCCCCTCTGTGTTGTAGCCTACCCTCCCTTCTCCACCCCCAAAAGTGCTCCCGTGTTGCTCATCCCGGTCAGGGGAAGGCCTCCCCTCCTCGTGTTTGGTGAAACACGGAGAGCTGAGGGAAACAGGCATCTCTTGCCTCTGTTCAAAGGCTGTGGGGCAAACCTGCCATTGCCAGGAGATGGACGTTTGTTAAAGACAAAGTGCACTTGCCCTTTTGTTTGTTTTTTCACATTTTCCTTGGCATAGGACCTGGAACAGTCTGCCAAGTGGACAGAATCAATCCATTTGTGTTTGGGGCTGGCCTTTCACTTTGGAAACCTAATGGAAGAGATGGGGCTGCTGGTCTCACATGTAAGAGGTTCCTTGCCAAAGGCTGCGGGCCCCTCTCCAGCAGAGTGAGCACAGGGCATGGGGTACCAGACACCCCACAGTGCCCAGAAGCCACAACCCTTTTTCTAAAAGAATAGGAACAGAATCTCAGAGACGTCCCAGCCCGGCCACTGGCATGGATACGTGTTTCCACGTCCTGCTTAGAAACCAGTAGGCAGCCTTTCCCCAGCCTAGGCATTTCCAAGTGAGTATGGACAAGGAAATTCACCGGGCTGCATTTTAGCCTCATAATGGCTGTTTACTTTGGAAAGGAGGGTGGGAGGAGGGCAGTTGGTGGACCCTCAGGTGCATCTTGAGGTGGGTGCTTTCCTGAGAGCTCAGCCCACGTGCTTATAAGGGTGTATGAAGACTCTCTCAGGACACGTGGCAGAGAATCCCACCCGGGGTCAGTGTGATTGGGGACCATCTGGGAACAGTGAGGAAACGGTGGCCCAGCAGGACGCTCTGAGAGGACTGAGAACGTCGGGTGGGACCCCCGGCTCACAGCCTTCTCACATGTCTTTTCAGATGCGCTGGCTCCCTCCCTCTGAAGCGACTTCTCAGGGCTGGAAGTCCCGTCAGTTCTGCTGAATACTATGTGAGTATTTGGTTTCACTGAGGAAGGTGTAAGGCACGTGTCTGGTACCCAGGGGCTGATCCCAGAATGGCAGCTGTCATCCTTTCTGCACAACCAGCCTTCCTATTGCCTTTGGTCGTCCACCTTTGTTAAGCTCACTTAAAGAACTTTCATGTGGCCGTGTGTCTCTTCAGAGAGAGCATTTCCACCTGGGATGGGGGGAGAAGTGAAGTACGGGTGCTACTCTGTTAAACCCTGAACTCAGGAAACCCATCCCTGGCTTTCCCATGTCGTAATTAAGCAGTCAGAGCTAGTTTCTATAGAACTGGTGTCAGGAAATTTCATTACATAGTTGTAGTTCATCTGCTACCAGTATTTTTTTTTTTTTTTGTCTTTTTTGTCTTTTTCCATGTCCGGCAACGGATTGCAACCCTCAGTGTTGCCCCCGTACCGGACCGGGGACCGGCGACGGGATCGCAAGCCTCGGCGTTGCTCCCGCGCCTCGCTCAGCCAGTGAGCGGGAGCCGGCCTGTACGTGGGATCCGAACCCTCGGACGGGAGCGCCGCCGCGCTTCCCAAGCGGCGCACTATCCAGTGCGCCACCGGGCCGCATCTGCTGCCAGTATTAACAAAAACGTTCCTCCAGTTTCAGGCATATAGCAGCCACTAATTTGCAAAGTCGTTTATTAGGGGAGTCTTAGATATTTATTAGAATTAACTTCTCTGCATACATGCATATCTAAAGTTCTAATCTTTGTAAAATGCCTAATTTTTGTACTGAAGGCAGTGTGCTATTTTCAGTAGGCTTTCCTTATGGTATTTTATCTTGAGCTGAACAATATCCTAAACTGGCATCTTTATGCCATTTTTAAACCTAATTTTGCCTCAGAGAACTACGAAATAATTTTTTTCCTATAAATTTATAATTTCTACAAAATTCCAAATGCCTTCTGTAATTCAGTATCTTGACTAAATTTCTATTAAGTACAAGAAACGATTATTCTGAACTCTGATTTGGTGTGTGAATTTGGGGAGTCTGTCTACAGTTAAGTTTTTTAAATGTTACAGTTCTACAATTGTTGGGAAAATATAGGAAAAATGGTCAGGGCCCCTCAGATGTTGAGAATCTTGCCGAGCATTTGATGTAAACAGGCACATGCGCTCAGGTGTTCCTTGGTTATTGTCTAGTGTAACTGCGCGTGTGCACCCAGGTGTCCTGGGTTATGGACTTTATAAGGATGAGTGGCTCCGATCCAGGGAGCGTCCCAGCCCCGGGATGCTCCCTCCCCGTGGGGAAGGCATGGGGAGGCCACTACTGCTGCTGGAGGCTGCTGCTGCTAGTGCCCCCGGGACGCTCTGCAAGGCCACTGCCACTGCTGGACCCGTAAGCTGCTGCCAGTGAGGAAGCTGAGGACTGAGCTCATGTCACCTGCCAACAGCTCCTGGAATCTTTCCCAATTACCTAGCATGGACCTGCGTGTGAGGGGTCTGGGGACCCAGTCTGTACAGCGGGTTGGGAGGGTTTGAGCCCTAGCCCTGACAATATAAATGGACACTTAGTATAACTAAAATAATAACTAACATAATGAAACGTTTTGGCTTTAGTTATGACTCGCCTTTACAACAATCAACCTTCTCTTAGCTTACATCATTTCTTCACAAAGCAGGAAAAAAAATGAGAAGAGGGAGGGACAGACCTTTGTCCTGTTAGAAACACTAAAGAAGCCATGGCAAGCTGTTAAGCACATGTACTTGATACTGACAATAGTCATGGGCCTTTTCTCAGAGAGCTTGTATTCCAAGATAAAAATACTTCCCAGTAAAACTAATGTTCCTTTCCTTCTTCCACCATTAATACTGAGTCCCATGGGCTTTGTCAGATCATTAGAGGCCATGGAGACTCTTTTAGAGGGGCATTATGTGGAAAGCATTGGCCTCTGCTTGACTTAGGTTCCACATAAGTTTTTCAGACAGATCACAAGGAAATGCTTGGAGAAGTGGGAGCTGCAGCAGCTGGCCTCCTGCAGCTCAGTGCCATCTTAATGACGAGGAGTGAGAGCACTGAATGGGATTTTTAAAGAGTCTTGGGATTTATTGTCCACAGGCAAGTTGGCCTGTTGAGCTAAGTCTCAGTTGGTGGGTCAGGTCCCCTACAAGATCCCCGGGGACTGCCGAGTGTGGACTTCATCCGCTGAAGTTCTCACCACCGTGGAAGCTTTGCACGTCCACAAGAGCTCCAGTCCTCAGCCAGAAGGAAAACTTCTGTGTTCTCAAAGGATGGGCTTCCCCAAACAGGAGAAAGAGTGATGCGTATCAGAGCATCAGAAATCCCACAAAAGATTGTCACAGTGGCCAGTCCAACCAATAACCTGGCTCGTCAGGATTCTTCCTGTGATGGTAGTAATAAGAAGAAAGTTGGAGGATAACTTGTCTGTACTTCAGGACATCAGTTTCAATATATTAGAATCGTACCTGTTCTTCCCCTAACCTAACATATTCCTGAGGATAGCCGAAGAACACTAGTCCTCAGGGATAGTCACAGGTAGTTTTTCCAAGGTCAATCACAGTTCAACAGATTTCTTTACCAAAAGATTCTAGCACCTTTATTACAGTATTAGCATTGTGAATCTTTAAGAGGAGGGAGCTCTAGAATGCAGCATTTCTCAAACTTATTTGAGACTAGGGGATCCTTTTTTACAGACTCTTAGGAGACTAATGTTTTACTTAAAGCATGCTTTGGGAAACTATACCGTAACCTCTTGGCCAGAATCTA